GCATCTTATTGAAAATTGATTTTCTTTATGACGATACTCTGAAGAACCCGTTAATGTTCTTCATGATTATTTACTCATAAATGAGAGACAAAACAAAATAGCTGCTTGATACGATAGTATCAAGGCAGCTTTTGTCTTGAATCTATTCTCCGATCAAACATGTGACAGGCCCGATTATGGTCACATGTTCGATCGATTGTTCGCTCGATCCTTATATGCGGTAATTATGTGGTAATTAGTATGTAATTATAGTGCAATTCGATTAAGAAAGTTGATTATTTCTAGCGAGTATGTAATAGTTGAGTAAGAATGAGTTAATTGAATAAGTACAAGGCAATTGAGTAAGTATGAGGTAATTAGAGCATAGTATTTTAGTGAACTTGAAGGGCGATGTAAGTTAATTTTGTCTTTTCTGCGAACCTGACTTTCGTTCTGGTTACATCAACCCTTCTCCCGCCCCAAAAATAGTACAACGTTGTTTTGATTGGCATGCTGGACGGCAGCCATTAAATTGTGACCTGTCGGGACAACAGTCACTTATATAGATTTTTGCTCAGTCAATGTCATCATAGTTTGTAGTTTATGCCCCAAAATTGATGCATTGTTGTAATTGGCCTGCTGGGACAGCAGCCATTAAATTGTAGCTTCAGACGAATTTGTAGGTGATAACGTGATTTGAAGCATAAATGTAAAAAAAAAAAAAAAGGGGGGTCAGTTAATCTGATAATCGATGCTCATAAACTGCGTTGGTTGCTCGATAGCAGAGGGACAATACCCGTTAATGTTCTTCATGATTATTTACTCATAAATGAGAGACAAAACAATATTTATGTAAAAACTGATTAAAACCGGTTTTAACATATGAAATATAAAACCAGTTCCAAACTATAGTTCTTACTGTCCATAAGAACTGTCCATAAAATTTTTCAGAACGTGCCAATTAGATTGAAGGATCAGACGAAACAATCGAATTAAGTGAAAGATTTTAAAGTAATAAGCTTCACCTTTAGGTTAGTAATAAGGCTGAGAGAGAATATAGCTTATATCAAAATTATATAAGGAATTTTTTTGTTAGAACGCAGAAAGCAGTTTTATGGGCAAAATTTCGAGTTATTATTGGTGATTTTTTTAAAAAAGACGTGATTTTCACGTTACACCTAATCCTTTTATCTAATTGGTTAAATTCACGTGCCGAAAATTTTTTGTGGGTGAGCTACAGGGGTTCTTGTCTAGACTCTTGGAGTTTTTAATTTATGGTTATTTTGTAATATGTTCTCGCTATTCAGTCGCGTTACAAAGTTTTATCGATCATTTTTTCCTAGGTTACTTTCTACAGGAACCAAAGGAACTAAGAGAGGTAAACCTAAGTTTGCGTCAGATTTTAACCAAGAGGATGCTCAGCTACTGAAAGTGAGCTTCCAGCCGGCTTCTTTCGAAGACGTCATTCCCTCCTTAAAGAGCTCTGGTACGTTATTTCGAATGTTTGTCTTAGCGAAACGCTGACATTTCAAATATCATGCAATCACAGTACCGGCAGAATATCTTCTTCCCGAAATCAATCGCCATAAAGTTGGAAACCCAGATTTTCAGATCGATAAGCTCGATAAGGTTTCGAATCGAGTCAAAACGTTCATAGATAAAATGCGTGACGTTGTGGAGAATGAAAAGGTAGCAACAGGTACAGACGAATCTAAAACCGACACACTGGTGGATGATCTGCTTCGTATCGCCGACTTGAATGTCTGGCCCTTAAAGATACTGTGAGTAATTATAAAAATGTATTTTTTGTGAGTTACTTAATTTGCTAAAAGCTTGTGTTCTATCGAAATCCAGAAATCATTCGTTATGCAGAATAATTATTAAAGAAAAGCCTTATGTTTCCGCAGACCTCGAATTTGTGGTTGCTAATCGAAAATTAAATATGGTGGCTGTAGAGGTCTGAAAAGTTTAATGTTTTTGATTGTTTGCCAAACCCATAATCATTCTAAAAAAACCTTTTAAACAGGATAAACATATTAAAAACATCTATTCACCAAGTGGTTTTGGAGAAACACAGATTGCCGCAAATATTATTGCTTGTGGAGATGAGAATATACGTGCCACCGATAATGAGGAACCTGTTGATGAGACCATATTTGCCATGCGCGTTCTTTCAACGTACGTAACATTTTACAAGGCAGAGATCCCTGCAAAATATTGGGCCGAGCTTAGTCGTGGTTTACCAAAAACGGAAGTCATTGTTAAGAGATGGCCAGGAGAAAATGCTAAGCGGAAAGGTCTGGATTTAGTAGAACCAAACGGGAGAAAAGCAGTGCTAGACGCGTTAGCTAATATTCGTGAATTTCTTCTGCGCCACGAACAACCTGGTGCGTACATAATGAATGTTTAAATGATGTAAAACATGTAAATGATTTATTTTTTTAAAAAAAATAGAATCTCAGCAAACTTCTTCCTAAGTTCGCCAATCTCAGCTAGGAGTTTGGTATTTAATCCCCTTAATGAATCGTTGGATTGCATGTTCGATAATAATTTTTATATAAGATGGAATAATTTAAAAGTTCATTAGCATAGATCTAATCAGTGATGGAAATTGGATCCGCGCGGTGTACATAGATTTAAATTTGCGCATATATCAGCGCTCTCTGTATATATAAAGCGCGCATAAATTTCATATTTTTTGTTGCGTTTGCGCCAATCAAAATCTTTGAATTTATAACACCGGATATAACTCGTGACAAAACATCCCTATCAGATTACACTGTTAAATATGGCTTTATTGACGCAGAAAAGAGATTACATGTTTAGTAATACATAGATTTGTTTTAAAGGAAGTAAAATGGTGTTTCACTATTAATGCATACAGAGTGCGAACCACGAGTTTTTCATTCGCTTACACTAAACACATTATCCCCCAACTAACTATTCTAGATATATGCACAATAATTATATTATATACATGGTTGAAAGGCTTTCAAATGCACTTTTAAGTGATTAATGTAAATGTTGAGATATATAGAACAAGGTTTGCGTTGTACAGGATGCAGTGAGTTACCTACGTAGTTGGCTATTTTACTTGCTGGTCAATTTCGTCCATAATAGTTCGAGTAGAATCTTAGCAACTTTTTTTTGCCATGGTTAGGGTACTAAAGCTTTAGAAAAGACAACTTTAAAATTTCTAGCTCTTGATTTACAATTAGGTGTGTGGCACGGTGGTCTATAGGCATGCCACTTATATGATACACCTCGCTCTGGCTAAACTGATATTTGGATATTTCGAAAACTTCCGAATAGAAAATTCAAACAACATAAAATTAATTGGAGCAAAGGTCCAATGATACGTATTATGGCATGTCAATGGCATGCCTATAGTATGGCATAGGCCTTTTTTTTTTTTGCCGTGCCACACACCCAAGGCCAGTGATTTTCTGTGTTTCACATAATACCACAGAATTCACATAAATATGCCTATATCACATAATTTGGTGTTTA